GTCAAAATAAATATAAAAATAGACCATATCATTTAACAAGATTACTATTTGTCAGCAAAATGTCATACAGTTCCAGCCAGCAAGCTCACCCCTATAAATATATGACCAGTCACTAAGAATTATTTAAAAAAAAATATGATTACAGTTCATTTTGTGTCAAATGGGTGACTGTAGGGTGTCTGGGATTTAAAAGCAAAATAATAATGCTTCAGACGAGGGAAAATAAGAATTATCTGCTTCAAAAATTACACTGGAATTATTTTGTTGAAAAAAATTAGGATCCTAGTTCTCATTAATAACGTATCAAGTCTCGATACAAGATCCCAGCCTGGTCGAGCAGAGATAATATTTGCGACGCAGATAAGTTATTCCCCGAAAACTGGTGAATTATAAAATACTAGTCAGGACAACGTGTGTTTCCCCATTGTTTGGTTATGGAAATAGTTATGTTACTCGGTCATAGCCTTAGAATGGCATCTTGTCAGCCACTGAGAATACAGAACAACTTTCACGGCACACACTACTGACAAATAGCGAGTCTGATGCCGACATGCGTAATTGGACAAAATGGAAAAATATGAAAGCAACAAGTACTTAATGATTTGCCGTTGTATTCGGCAATGTTTCGAGTTGACTGCATCATTTAGGGCATCATTTCGTTATAGCGAAACATTTTCAAGCTCATGTGAAATCACTTACTGATTTTGATAATATATATCTCATGTGTACCAGTCGAATTGCCCCAGCTACAAAATGCCCTAGCAAATTTGGTCATTCATTCTAATTTGTTCAAATTTATTTATAATGATTGAATATATGCCGTAAATGCATAGTTTTTGTCAACTTATTATGATAAAATATATATTATATAAAAGTTATTAGGAATGTCAGTTATTTCTGATAAATGTTTTATTAGTAAACTCATTACTATGTATATACTTATATATGAAGAACATAATATCAAAGTTGACAAAACTATGCATTTATGGCCTATATTTATTCATTTTAAATAAATTGGGGCATTTTGACTACCCCACTGGGGCAATTTGACCAAATTTGCTGGGTCATTTTGTAGCGGGGGGCAATTCGACTGGCAACCGGACTTGATTTAATTTATGTTAAAAATACCACTGACAGTAAGTTGTTACAGGGAATGATGGAGTATAAATGAATCTCGTGGATACTTTTTCCTTCTTCAGCCTAGCTTGGGGATTTCCATACCCCATGCGTGCATGTCTCTTTCATATGCGTCCAACTCGGAAAGATCGGCTCATTTCTCCTGCCGAAATCTGTCATTTCACTTGGAAAACGGAAGAAATGGTGGTTCTTTCCCATGTTTGATGATGCCGTGCATTCCCAGGCAACGCAATATACCATCATCCCATTCAAAGAATGACAGAAACAACACCATTTGTACTACTGTAGCGCTTGGTCGTTGGCAATATGGCGGACTCCAGGCACATTTGATGTCACGAGCGGAAAGGTCACGTTGGTTCTAGCAAAATATGCATAATGGCCAAGGCTGAGATTTACAGAAACTGTTTTCGCGATTAAAACATAATTATACATAATTTGTAATTGAAAATTTGGGAATATGTTTCTGATGACTTTATCTTTCACAAAGTAAATTATTGCAATTCACTTGTATTTTCCTTTAAGTCCAAATTGTTGTTTTCTCACATGAACTTGAGCAGTGCAGATACAGACAGTCTTGATCTATTATCAATGTATGACTTGTTTTAGTCCCAATATGGCAGACATATTGGTGATGTGACTGTAAATGTTGTCTCACTAACCAACAGCAGAGAAAGTGACAGGTGGTTATAAGTGTTCAGTTATTAGTGTATGCACTTTGGAACACTGCATCATTTCACTGAAAGTGAAAATTCAGGTATACATGGACTTATAACTTGTACATTTTGATTCAATTATTGTTTATGGTCAGTTCATTCAATCTGATCGATCAATTTGAGTGAAATTACCTTGATTACAAAAACAGTTTTTTCCTGTATTTTCCAGAATTAAAATGTTTCTTGATATCAATGATAAATGCTTTGCTTAAATGTTCCAAAGGTACTGTTGACAAGATAGTCACATAGTCTTGGCACAGTACCATGTGTATTTTAACAACATATCTGTATATCCTAGACTGTCTACAATGTTGACTGCTAATTCTGAATTCACAATTTAGGAGAATCTCTATTTCCTGTAACACTATGTTGCCACTGCCCACAAACTTACCTCAGCCTATCTCATGGATTTGGGAGAGCGGAAGGTTGAGGGTTCGATCCCTGACCGCGTCATACCAAAAGACGTTAAAATATGGTACTTGTTGATCCCTGCCTGGCGCTCGGCATTAATGGGTACAACAAGGACTGGTTGGCTCGGAGTCAGTATAATGTGTCTGAGTGGGGTATTCATGCTTCACTGCGGCATGGTATCTCAGTGGGCTTGCACTATAAAACCAGCTTAAGTCTGGGCTAGTACAAGCAGCCGCACATACACATACACACGCATGCACGTCGTCATATGATCGAAATATTCTCAAGCACAATGTAAAACGCAATTTCACCTCACCTCACCTCATGGATTTGGTTGTAGTTTTACGCCACACAGCAATATTCTAGCTATATGAATGTGGTTTGTAAATAATCAAGTCTGGACCAGGCAATCCAGTGATCATTGGCACAAGCATCTTTCTACGCAATTGGGATACAGTGATATATGTCAGCCAAGTCAGCGAGTCTGACCACTCGGCCCTGTTAGTCACCTCTTACGACAAGCATGGGTTGCTGAAGACCAATTTTAACCCGGATCTTCACGGGTCCTATCTCATGGAAGTCATGTCTTCACAGATGTTTGAAGTAAAAACAATTGCCAGGCTGCCATCAGGACCTACACACTTTAAAAGCTGCAAATACATTGACATGTAAACATTACTGGAGGCTGGAAGGATCCATACACATGCTAAAGGTGCTAAATTACTGGCCTGACACTCAATTTATGTGTGGTGGGCCTAGGGGCAGGTGTTTATTTTGAACACTGATCTATACACAACTTGTTTTCTGCTCAGAAGATTTTCAGGATTGTCAGTCACACTATATCATGATGTATTTTGTCACAACATGATATGTATCTTGTTAGAAATGTCAAATAAAGCCTAAGTGCATGTACCGGTAATTGTATATCATACAAAACAACTGGATACTGGAGTCAGTTATACCAGCACTGGGAAGAGTGCTCACACATGCTTGTGGTACTGCCATGTTTTTAGTGTGAGTACAAGACCTGATACCACACACACATTGTGGTACAAATGTCTGTGGAACTTCAGGAGTGACGTCCTATTGATGCTTATTGATTATACAGGGATACATTCAACACATTGTATGTGTAGTATTGGTCCGTAGAATTATCCAAGTGAAAAATAGTCCTACTTATTATTAGGTCAGACCAATTTTATTTCTTGTTTTACGGATTTTTGTCCTCCGAAAACCTAAAGGCAGGAGGGAAAAAAATAAAAATCACCAGTCAAAGTAATATTTATTTTGCATACTAACAGTATTATATTTTTGGCAAGTTATGAAGTGTATATCGGGCAAAAAACAATCAAATTTTTTTTCTGAGTTTACATTCTTTGCTAATAAAAACATAAGTATTTTACTTTTGGAGTGGGGAAAATGAATTCTAATTTTTTTTCTTATTCTTGAAAAAATATGACCGGCGGATCCGTAAAACAAGAAATAAAATTGGTCTGGCCTTAACAGGTTTTGATATTTCATGGACAAACTGTATGGAAATCATAGGAGAATTTTGTAGTTGTGTCATGCATGGAGTACCGCATATTACTGTAGCTAAGCCAATGTCACAGATAAGCCGAGGTCCTAACTTGACCCTTAAAATCAGTATCATAATTTTTTTTAGATAAGCTGAACCATCAACCTTTGTACATCTTTTCGTTGTGATCAGTCATCGGATATAGATGTAGTAGATGATATTTGCCACATGCAACAGTAAATGTTTTGTATGAATGTTATGTACATAAAAAAGAACTGTGTAAAATTGACTTTGAAGTTAGAATTATATGAATCATTTTCAAATGTAGATGAGAATACATTCTTATGTATACATGTTTGAACTGTATCATTAGTTTTGGACTTCTTTGAGTGGCATTTTAGAAGTTACAAGTTTGATAGGACAAGTATATATGGATGACAACTTCTTTAATTCTAGAGCATGACGTTTCGGTACAGGTTCTTGTATCGTTTTCAAGTATGAATGTTGCAGGGCGAGTGCAGGTGATATATATACATCAGGGGTGGAAATAACCCATTGCCCGACGTCCGAGTCCAGTGGTTTTTTTCTGTCGGGCAAGCAAATTTGTATATCACACTGTACCGATGTCCAGTTGACTTTCCAATGTTAATTATGTTGTTTATTTAAAAATCACCAAGAAAACGTCCGGTACAGTGGCAAAATTATCAGGGCAAGTGATTTTACATGTGCCACTGTACCTGAGTACACTAGCAATTTTAAAGTTATTTCCACCCCTGATACATATATACAGTAATACATATATTGTTATCATCACATTGTTAATCTCGTATACATTCTTCTCTCTGTGTATCACTGGCTTCCACTGGCCTCTATGTTTATCCCAGTAATCCTCTGTTATCCCTGTATTCGTTATCATCACATTGTTAATATTGCCTCAGCCTTGTTAATTGGTCTTCTGTTGTATATATATCACCTGCACTCTCCCTGTACCATTCATACTTGAAAACAATACAAGAAACTGTATCGAAACGTCATGCTCTAGAATTAAAGTTGTCGTCCATATATACTTGTTCTATTAGTTTTGGAGGTGAAATAGGAATTGTCAATATTTTTGTACACAAGCAGTTGTGCAATACCAGCCAACTGTAATTTGAGCTTTCAGCCCAGTTTTTGCACAGGATGGCTATGTAGTAAGTAAAGTGAACATTTTCCTTTTGTTTTAGAGTTTCTTTGGATTCGGCCAAGGTGCCGAGGTTGACATAGTTCTTGATGGTCAAGACTCACGTAAAACAGCTGAGATCAAAACCGAGGATGGGAAGAAAGAGTGGTATTACTTATACTTTGATGGAGAGACAGTATCAGGAAAGGTGAGATCATCATTTCACATCTTCAAGTCAATATTGTTCTGGAGTATAACCAGTTTGAACTTGTTACTTGTTCTTGAAAGTAACTGAAAAGTTCATAGATTGTTGTTTGCTATATCATTTCTTACATGAAAGATTGTACATGCAATTTTTCAGTAGTTTTTCATGGTATTCCAGGACCACTTCAATCAAGGGAAACACTCAGATAATTTGTTTTCTCAATAGGACTTGCAAGGGAAATACTGAGTTGAACCTGAAAGGCGACAGTGTGTTAAACACAGCTTTTGCTGTTTTGTTATTGAAAGATAAAACATTCCGCCATACCAACCTGACAGATTTGTGATGTTTGTGGATCTATCTGTGATGAAACGAAATTGAAGGGTTTTCTATTTTCCAGGTGAATGTGACACTGAAGAAGTCAGGTAGCAAGCTGGAGCACCAAGGGATTAAGATAGAATTTATTGGTCAGATAGGTGAGACAACATTGTCATGATAGTTCAAGGAGACCCCCCAACTCTTTATCATGTTAAGTCATGAATTCAGAAGCTGTCCTAGAACTAAGCAAAGAGAAAAGTGATTCCTTCTTGACTGGACCATTCTTTATGTTAACTCCATGCTTGATGCTGCTGCATGTCTATTCCAGAGTTGTACTATGACCGCGGAAACCACCATGAGTTCACATCACTGGTCAAGGAACTGGCCAGGCCGGGCGAGCTTACACACAATTCCAGCTATAACTTCGAATTTCAACAAGTGGAAAAACCATACGAGTCATACACAGGGGCAAATGTTAGGCTAAGGTAGGTGTGGCTGGCCTTGCTGTAAATTGGTAGAAACTACTTGGTAGCAGTCTGGTTGTATATTTCACCAGAGGTCAATGGCCGAGCTGTACAACAGCGTTAAACCAGATTCACCCAGGGCTCGATGTAAGCATTCAAAACTTTGACGGTGCACTCAGATATATTTTGATGCAGCCTCATACTTGCCCACAGTGCAACTTAATATTTTAATGTTCAAAGAGCACAATGTTTAGCTGGAGAACAGAATAATGAAGAACTGGCTTGGAGCAGTGACATGATGGCTACAAGAACAGTTATTGTATGAATGTTACTGTTTCATGTCATGAAATTATATGAACTAAGGAATGATCTTATCACACCCAGAATTATTTAATTACAAACACCCAAGCATTATATATGATTTTATACTGAGCACTGCCTGGTGCAACAAGGTTATGACTTAGGGTTGCACTGGGTGCAGGTAGGTTTTATTTCCACTTTTTTCTTCATTCTAACAATATCACCTTTTTTGCACAGGTATTTTTTGCGTGTGACAATTGTGAAGCGGTTAACGGACATTGTGAAAGAACAGGACATTGTGGTCCACACTTTGTCTCAGTACCCGGACATGAACAACAGCATAAAGATGGAAGTGGGCATTGAAGACTGTCTTCATATAGAGTTTGAATACAACAAGTCCAAGTACGTACCCATCATCACCTTCACATTCTAGGCATGGACAGCCCATGAAGATCTGGCTTAGAGTTGGTCTTCAGTAACCTGTGCTTGTCGTAAGAGGCGACAAAAAGGATTGGGTGGTCAGTCGCACTGACTTGTCATCATATCCCAATTGCGTATATCGATGCTCATATTGTTGATCACTGGATTGTCTGGTCCAGACAAGATTATTTACAGACCGCCACCATACAGCTGGAATACTACTGAGTGCATCCTTGATAATCTCCAGGGGTATATACGTTTCGATCACTCTCCACTATACCCTGGATGCTTCCATGGCTTGGCCCGAAGATTTTATTACCTCCCTTGTCTGGCTTTTTATCCAATCAGGTGTCTACGCTGGGAAGTCGAGCGAACCAATCACAACTCACTTTCGCTTCTTAAATTATCTAACCGTTTAAACTTGGCAACACAACTGATGCAGAGGTACTCTGAAAGAGGTAGAAGAAGTTCTTTTATATATTTTTTGAAAGTTTCTGATCTGTCAATTTGTCTGTATGTTTTCCTAAAAAATCTGAGTGGCACTGCGAACAAACCTTCGCGACTGAGACTGCTAGCTTTGTTGACAATAGCAAGCTCGGATGTAACAGCAGCTTAGCTGATTGGCTACTGTGAGAATGCGAGCCAGCAAAGGGACGTAATATAATTATTGGGCCAAGCCGTGGATGGATCCAGGGTATAGTGGAGAGTGATCGTTCGGTTTAGCCAGGAGATTATCAAGGATGTACTGAGTGCGGCGTCAAACTAAACTCACTCGCTCTATGCATGGACAAATTTCAGAGTCAATGAATTATTAGTGCTGTCAGTGGAATAAAGATTTCTATTTTCAACCAGTAAACATTGACTGCATTTGAACCATATTGGAATGAGTTAGTGCGAGAGGATATTAACTCTGTAGACTTACACTATTATCGCATACTGTTCATTAAAAGGAGCACACATTTTTTTTCCGGAAGTATTTTCCATTTTTGTGATATGGAAGTTAATATCCTGTCTGTCATGTTGGGATTTATTGATTATCTATTGACTCTCATCCTCTTTGTTCATGCCTCATGAAGATATCATCTGAAAGATGTAATTGTGGGGAAAATTTACTTCCTTCTGGTGAGAATTAAAATTCGATACATGGAGCTTGCAATAGTTCGTCGAGAGTCAACAGGCGCAGGTATGATCATCATTTGATCCAATCGGTTGTGGATGTGCTCTGTCATGTGATGCAGTAGAAGATACGTGGGACAATATACAGTCATGTATCAAAGCATGTGTTCATCTATATTCATCTATTCAGTTCAGGTTTCACCTTATCAGTGTTTATGATTTTGTTTTTGTATTGCAAGTTTATTTCTGTTTTATGTATCATTTGTGTTACACAATTTGGGGTCCTCTATGAATTGCTGTAACTACCTACAACCATGATCACTGATTAGAATATGTAAATATGTCAGGAAAAACCAAAGGCGGCTCCTCATTTCCATGGTACCTCTCGGAGATATTGAAACTGTTGTTATTGTTGGTGGAAGTGAGTGGGGCTCAGCTAGTCATGATTTTAGTAACTTATGTAAGAGAGAGGTGGCATACAGTTAGTAGACTTGATATTGGGATTAATTCTTACCTGTGGAATCGTGGTTGTCTCTATTCTTTGCGGTCATCAGGCCCAGTTGTCTTTTGCCAACTTGATGTACTACGACTTGCTTCGCTTTGAAAAGTCTAAATTTGTAAAGTAAGTGTTTCTGTTAATAGTGACAATTGACAAAGTACAGTCTAGTGTAAATAGTAAAGAGATGTAAGAGGCAAAAAAGATCAGGCCAGCATTTCTCGAAACGTTCGTAACCCTACGAACTTCTTAAGCCAATTCTTAACACATTGGCTACGATCAAAGTTGAGAATTCTTAGAGCTACGAACGTTTCAAGAATAAGGGCCCTGAACTTTCTCAATTGTGGGTGGGGGTAGGAAAAAATAGTTCAGACTGAATTGCCAGTCTGTGTCTTCCCGAGTCCACAAGTCTCACTCTAGGTATAACCTAAGGTGCCGAAGACCCACATGGGTACAATGTGTGAAGCCCATTTCTGGTGTCCCCGCCGTGATATTGCTGTAATATTGCTAAAAACAGCGCAAAACCACACTCACCCCGACTCACTATATGCTAAGGAACTAGGGCTGACTTTAGTGGTAGTCGATGTAGTGGTGTTGAAGGACCCTGAACTGTGTAGCATGGATGTGGTAGCAGCTTCCCGTCGGTCTGCATGGACGTTGTGCTGTCAGTGTCTGTCTGATTGCAGGTATCATTTAAAAGATGTCATAGTTGGCAAGATTTACTTCCTGCTTGTGCGGATAAAGATCAAACACATGGAGATTCAGATAATAAAACGAGAGACTACAGGCACAGGTACACTGTTTGTCTTACATGTCAAGTACTGCAGACCTGGGTTAAATACATGGTCAACATCTAACAGTCTTAAGTAGGTGTCTTCCTACCCAGGGACAAGGCGTTGCTCATTTTGTTGTTGCTTTCATGATGTGGTTGAAATATTACTGACTGCGGCATGAAAGTGACAACAAATATGCATACCTTAAACATGGTGAAAGCAACAGGCCTTATTCTTCTTATGTGAAGGGAACAGGAATGTATCACTTGGGTGAGTCATCAAGACTCACATGATTTCTACAAGTTGTAATTGTTTCTTCCCGAACAAATGTGAAGTAGTGTCATCAGCTGCCTCTTGAAACAGTTCCTCTCAGATGAAGACTCCATCAGTTTTCAGCCTTTCCTTGGCTATACCACTTTCCCAAAGCAAGCTAAATTCCGAAACAAAGCATGGATGACTGCTATTCTATCCTCCACTGGTTTGTCTGTGGAAGACCTGACTATCTACTGTCCTCTCTGATAATGCTTGACAATGGCACAGACTGTTTTGTTTCCACTTGCACATTCCTTTCTGATCTCTTTGACTGTCAACTGAAAATAAGGATATGTTTAGAGGCTACGGTGTGTGCATCATTATCCCATGTATACTTGTTTATACCAGCCATTGAAATATTCATACTCTTGTTACCAGAATTGGAAAACTGTCACCCTCTTTGCATGTTGATATAACAGATTATTTGCTGCTCATGTTAAGTCAGACTTTAGCTGAGACCACTGGACAAAGTTCCAACTGAGCTGGTGGCATGACTTATATGTCATCTAGTGTTATCCTTAGAAACTGTTTGTATAAGGCCAAGTTTTCGAAAAAACGCACTTCTTTTTTGTCAAAAGATCTTATGGCAATATAAGCTGAAGGTTTGTTTGGGCAAGAGTTGTTTAAAATGATCCCAGCTATGTAAATTAGTTGACATTATCTACATACTGTAGAACTGTATTTTTTAAGTTGAATTTTAAAATGCAGAGTGTTGTTTTTGTATTAGTTGGCCATGATAAGACATGACTACATATGTGTCTCATGGTCTGTTTCAGGTCCCAACACATTCAACGAGAATGAAACCATAGCAAAATATGAAATTATGGATGGTGCGCCAGTTCGAGGTAAAGTTGAGCAGATTACCACATGAGATTTGATCAGGAGTTTTGATGTACAGTTACACCATATACTGAAATGTGTTGATATTTTAGGGGAGTCAGCAACTATCTGACTGTTGATGTTTTGTGGGAGTCAATACCTTTCTGACTGTTGATGTTTCAGGGGACTCAATACCCATCCGACTGTTGATGTTTCAGGGGAGTCAATACCCATCCGACTGTTGATGTTTCAGGGGAGTCAATACCTATCTGACTGTTGATGTTTCAGGGGAGTCAATACCCATCCGACTGTTGATGTTTTGTGGGAGTCAGTACCTTTCTGACTGTTGATGTTTCAGGGGAGTCAATACCTATCTGACTGTTGATGTTTCGTGGGAGTCAATACCCAACCGACTGTTGATGTTTCAGGGGAGTCAATACCTTTCTGATTGTTGATGTTTCAGGGGAGTCAATACCTGTCCGACTGTTGATGTTTCAGGGGAGTCAATACCCATCCGACTGTTGATGTTTCGTGGTAGTCAGTACCTTTCTGACTGTTGATGTTTCAGGGGAGTCAATACCTATCTGACTGTTGATGTTTCAAGGGAGTCAATACCCATTCGACTGTTGATGTTTCGTGGGAGTTAATACCTTTCTGACTGTTGATGTTTCAGGGGAGTCAATACCTATCTGACTGTTGATGTTTCAGGGGAGTCAATACCCAACCGACTGTTGATGTTTCAGGGGAGTCAATACCCATCCGACTGTTGATGTTTCGTGGGAGTTAATACCTTTTGTTTCAGGAGTCAATTGTTGGTGTTTCAGGGGAGTCAATACCTATCTGACTGTTGATGTTTCAGGGGAGTCAATACCTGTCTGACTGTTGATGTTTCAGGGCAGTCAATATCCATCCGACTGTTGATGTTTCAGGGGAGTCAATACCTGTCTGACTGTTGATGTTTCAGGGGAGTCAATACCCATCCGACTGTTGATGTTTCAGGGGAGTCAATACCTATCTGACTGTTGATGTTTCAGGGGAGTCAATACCCATCCGACTGTTGATGTTTCGTGGGAGTCAATACCGGTCTGATTGTTGATGTTTCAGGGGAGTCAATATCTGTCTGACTGTTGATGTTTCAGGGGAGTCAATACCTATCTGACTGTTGATGTTTCGTGGGAGTCAATACCCAACCGACTGTTGATGTTTCAGGGGAGTCAATACCTTTCTGACTGTTGATGTTTCAGGGGAGTCAATACCTGTCTGACTGTTGATGTTTCAGGGGAGTCAATACCCATCCGACTGTTGATGTTTTGTGGTAGTCAGTACCTTTCTGACTGTTGATGTTTCAGGGGAGTCAATACCTGTCTGACTGTAGATGTTTCAGGGGAGTCAATACCTGTCTGACTGTTGATGTTTCAGGGGAGTCAATACCGGTCTGACTGTTGATGTTTCAGGGGAGTCAATACCTGTCTGACTGTTGATGTTTCAGGGGAGTCAATACCTATCTGACTGTTGATGTTTCGTGGGAGTCAATACCCAACCGACTGTTGATGTTTCAGGGGAGTCAATACCTATCTGACTGTTGATGTTTCGTTGGAGTCAATACCCAACCGACTGTTGATGTTTCAGGGGAGTCAATACCTTTCTGACTGTTGGTGTTTCAGGGGAGTCAATACCTGTCTGACTGTTGATGTTTCAGGGGAGTCAATACCCATCCGACTGTTGATGTTTTGTGGTAGTCAGTACCTTTCTGACTGTTGATGTTTCAGGGGAGTCAATACCTGTCTGACTGTAGATGTTTCAGGGGAGTCAATACCTGTCTGACTGTTGATGTTTCAGGGGAGTCAATACCGGTCTGACTGTTGATGTTTCAGGGGAGTCAATACCTGTCTGACTGTTGATGTTTCAGGGGAGTCAATACCTATCTGACTGTTGATGTTTCGTGGGAGTCAATACCCAACCGACTGTTGATGTTTCAGGGGAGTCAATACCTTTCTGATTGTTGATGTTTCAGGGGAGTCAATACCTGTCCGACTGTTGATGTTTCAGGGGAGTCAATACCCATCCGACTGTTGATGTTTCGTGGTAGTCAGTACCTTTCTGACTGTTGATGTTTCAGGGGAGTCAATACCTGTCTGACTGTTGATGTTTCAGGGGAGTCAATACCGGTCTGACTGTTGATGTTTCAGGGGAGTCAATACCTATCTGACTGTTGATGTTTCAGGGGAGTCAATACCCATCCGACTGTTCCTCAGTGGGTATGAGCTGACACCAACTATGAGAGATATAAACAAGAAGTTTTCTGTTCGCTACTATCTCAACTTGGTGCTAGTTGACGAGGAAGAGAGACGGTATTTCAAACAGCAGGTTTGTGACAGCTTTAACCTTATAGGTGACCAAAGGTCAAATAGCAGTTATTTAGTTTGAGAAACCTTTCTCGTGTGTATCACTATTACATCCAGAGCTAGCATCACAAATGCTGCTGGGGAGTAGGGATAGCCCAGTGGTTGAAGCGTTCGCCCTTGAGGCTGAGGACCCGGGTTCGATTCCCCACATGGGTACAATGTATGAAGTCTATTTCTGGTGTCTCCCGCTGTGATATTGCTGGAATATTGCTAAAAGAGGCGTAAAACTATACACAATCACTCACTCACAAATGCTGCCATCATATCCCATTTACAAAGATCAGTGGTTATGTTGTCAAACACTGAATTGTCAATTGTTTATATACAGCTGTCATGTTGCTGGGGTAAGGGGGTGTTGGAGTTGGTGTGATGTGAAGGTGTTTGTCTACATGACCAGATAACTCAACTTGGCTTTGGGCAGGTCTGTTTGGCAGACAGTTTGAACCCATCTTAAGAACAGTCCTCTCAAGTTATTTAGGAGATAAACATACTGTGTTGGAAAATCAGAGGTATATAACGAAATTATAATAGCTCTAAATTTGATATAAAACCGAACGCGTAGTGTTAACTAAAAAAATTAAAGCTATTATAATATCGTTATATACCTCTGATTTTCGAACACAGTATGTTTATCTCCATTCTACCATAACCACGTTATCAAGATTTTAAAAAGATACATACTGTTTGAAAATCAGAGGTTATATACATGGTTATATACCTCTGAATGACTCTAATTAACCAATCAAAATCCAGTGTTTATTTAAGTCATGGTAGAATACATTTTCAGTTATGTTTTTGGCATGAAACATGAGTACAGGAATATGTTATGCAGGATAAGTATACAAATATAGAAAATATTTAGACACTGGTGATTTCATTCTTATATCCTCCAACACATTGCTGAAAGACATGGACTCCAACACCGTCAATCTTTTCAGGAGATCACAATATTCCGACGGGCAGACAAAGTGAAGCGGTCATACCAGGCGTCCATGCATCATCACCAGCCCAACTTACAACGTGACAACCCCAAGTTGAAACCCAGCCCTGTGGAAGAGAACAGTACGCCAGAGAAGGATGGAGAAGATGATGACGAAGGGGAAGATTCTTAACGATTATATCGCTAAGTGGAAGATGAAAGAACGATGTTAATAACAGAGAAGATATTGTGATGGTAATGACGGTGGCAGTGTCACAGCATGTAGAACTGCCATAGCACATCAGAACTGTTAGTGGGGACAAGGGTGGATTTGGGTAGGGGGTGGATTTGGGTAGGGGGTGGGTCGGGGTTCGTACATGTGAAAATACTAAGTAATATGTGATAAGGTGTTCGTGCCAGATTGAGACTCGTGCACATGTTGTACCACACAGATTTTAGCTATTCTATTTTGAGATTACTCATATTTTGTTTTGAATCTAGTCAGTAAATCTCAGTGAACATTAGTGATCCTGTACATTTAATACATATGGAAAGTATGGCCTATATGACCTTCATTTAGGGTTCGCAGTGTAAATTACTTTTTGTAGGACTTTTATATGGAATTTCTGAATACACCATTTGATGACTAATTGTCACGTTTCCTAAATCCACTCTATGTGATGCATTACACTGTACTCACAAGGGGATGTGCAAGTCAGGGGAGACAACTGCTATCAGGGTGTTTGACTCATTCCGGTAGTGGATGGGGTTGTGTGTGATAAGTTTGTATGGACAAATGGAGGCCTGCTGCCAGACAGGCACAACAAAATAGGGTTCAGTGTTGTTTGTTTCAGTGAATAGCAAAATGAGACAAAACACCCTAATTTATTGTGTTTCTTATATTGGTGCATTAATACTCTGAACCATTCACAATGAAATTGAAAATTGTAAACTGTAATTGATGTGAAACATGTTGCTGGATTAATTCTAAAAGAACTGAATCTGTTTCTCCAATGTTTTAGACTATGCTAAGAATTGTGTTTATGCATCATATGTATAGAGATTGTGATGCACCAAAACTATAGCTTCCCTTGTACAGAAGTAGTCCTGTTAGTTGTATGTTCATCATTATAGGTAAGGTATACCATTGCTCACCTTGACAAGATGTACTGTCTATGTGATCCGAAAATGGCATAAGATTGGTCATACAAGCAACCAGGGACTGGTCAGGTGTGAGCTTCAAGGGGCAATGTAGAGTATCGCCCGGGACGATTGTGATGTGACCAATCATTTTGTGTTTCATTGTGGCTGATAAGCTCATATTAATCTAAGAAGAAGTGATTGTAAATACTGATGCTGCCATTGGTTGTAATCCTGTGTCAGTTGTGTGCTGTGTTATCAACTGTGCATTAGGGGTGTGACCACACAGGGTTGTATCATAGCTCATTATGCTGCTGGACCAGGGTATCCTAGTGGTTAAAGTGTTCACTCGTCACGCTGAAGACCTAGGTACGATTCCCCACATGGGTACAATGTGTGAAGCCCACTTCTGGTGTCCCCCCCCCGTGGTATTGCTGGAATATTGATAAAAGTGGCGTAAAACCATACTCATTCTCTCATTATGCTGGACGAGCAGTATGTTTCTTGAATGGCCCAAATTTAAGACAGCATCTCAAAGATTGTCACATCCCAGCAGGAAACAATGTTGACTGTTGTCAGGTGTATCCTGATGCTCTGTTGCATCACAGCTCTTCCAGCTGCCATAATGTCCCCTCCTGTGGCTATGTGCTTTGAGGCAGCCCTGTTCATCTGCTCCCCTCTTCATGAGAGTGTCAACTCTGTTCCATCTCATGTTGTGTTTATATTGTGTTGAGACCTCTGTCTCGCTGTACAGGTAATGTTATTGCCAAGCATTTGCTCATATTTGAACAAACTCTTAATTTCATTTTATTGTTTATGTCAATAATTTACTGATGTCATAATTGTGATGAATGAGTGACGAGCACCCACAGCACTGATCAGAATGACAAAAATTGACAAGATTGTTGCATTATAACATTGCGTGTATCCTCTTGGGTTCCAGCTTTGGCTTGTTTGTGGCTCTGAGGCTATTTTCATGGATGTTTTCACTATTATAGGATGTAGGTTTCCTTAGGCCCAATAAGTACACCTTGCAAACTGTCAGTGGTGATGTTCAGTTTAATTGGGAAACTTTCACCTTGCACATTCCTGATAAAAGAAGTTTGTTTGTGGGGGATTTTGTTAGTAGATTTATGTATTCTATTTGTCTGGAACTGTGATTTGATTTACTCTTCAGGTGTGAAAGTTATTTGCCAATTTTGTGAAAAGATATATGTCTAAGGGCATCTTCCTGAAATGAAATACAGTTCCTAAGGTTTCTAGGGGCAGTGAATAAAATTGTAATAAAGTGAAACTAGGAATAAATGATACTGAATGAGCTATGAATATGTATATAATGTGTACATGTGGAGGTGAAACGTTTGTTGAAACCAAACATGCAGCAGCTCTGATGCTACATTAGCATACACAGCCAGTTACAATGACCCATGATTCTTCTATTGATAAGAAAAGGAATACATAATATTTTGTTAAATATGTTAACAGAAAACATCAACTATAGGATACACTATCAAGATGCTGTTTATGAAACCATTCATGGTGTCAGCATGCTGATATACCTTGAATCTTGCCAATAGCAGACCATATTCACTCACTAATTCAAGTGTTTCATTCTGTCAATTATTTCTGGAAAGCACTTCACTAAGAATTTCTACTTGTGACATTCACAATCAATTTTTCTTGTGCCAGGAAGAATCACTTTCAGAGGATTTAGGAGAGTCTAGATGTCAAAGAATGTTCATTGTGGCATATTTCAATCGTTCACATCCAATCAGTTATGGTCTCAAATTAATGATAGTGACTTATGATCAGTATGGTCTCTTCAATAAGTCCAAGTTATTTGAACTTGTGGGAACACAAGAAGTCGAGACTATGTACAGAAGTAATGTATTGTGACAGCCAGACACACATTAACAGTGTAGTTAGTGAGATTTTTCCTTTCCTTCTGATACTTGTCTGTGCTTCTCTTGTCCTTGAATTGTCCGCCAGCTGTGTCGGGGCTGCACTTCGGTGTTTATATTTGAAAACCAATATTTAAGTCTTTGGAAATCATATGATTGTATGGCTTGTCTCTAAGTTTTGTTAATATTCTTGTTGTGTACAGATTTGTTATTTTATAGATACCCTGTATGTATACAAATAATCCTATTTTCTAATGCTAGTGCTTCAATAAGCAAGTACCTGTCGGTAAGCAGTGTATAATATGTATGATCCGTGTAGGACAGAAGTGTTGTAGGCAGGACGTTTTGTGAATTTTATCATTAATTGAGAAGATTGTATAAATGAAATGTTAGTATTTTTGGTTATGATTTCTTGAATGATGATAAAATTCTTAAGCATGTTTTTAACTTTATCAGGATCAAGCACTTAGTTATGGCTGCTGTATATTAACTTTCAGAGTTACCTCCCTTGTGTAAATGCATCCACGACTAAAACAAATAGTAGCTACTGAGAACAATGAATTGTATTACTTTTTAACTACCTACCTGAGATGGTTTGACAATCTCTGAATTACAGCAGATCTCTATGTAAGTTCAGAACTATGTCAGGGGAGATAGCTTCAACAAGGGAGATAACTCAAAGGTTAACAGGATGTCCAACCCCATGCTGCATGAAATATGCTGTTCAGTACCACTTGTAAATTTCACACCAACTTGATCATGTACTCATTTTGATGTTTGTCATTTGTCATCTATGACAAAATAAATGATAACAGAATCTGGATGGTCTTCGTTTTGATTACTGACAACTACACCAGTGCTTGACTTCACGGTCACCATTGCACATTGACCACCACTCGTGAAATTGGTCACTGTAAATGAGCTCTTGCCCTTCGCCCAGTGACTGCCAAAGAGGTCACACTGTGGATGATTGTGTTACTTATATTAAGATAAGATCTAACTTTATTATCCCGGAGGAAATTCTTTTTGTATCAAAAACGGCCTCAAAATGAATATACACAATTATTACATGCACAAAATGAATGCTGATGATTCCATACAATGAGCCACATAAAGAGGCTGAGTTAGAAGTAGCGCATGCATGATGACTATTCTAAAACATTTGTTGCATTAATAACACGAATACTGGATGGTATGAAGGACTGTCTGTCAACCTCTGTTTTAAGCGGAGGTAATCTAAAGCGGCGTCCTGATAGAAGAAGTTGAAAATGGTGAGATAAAATATGTGAACTATCAATTCTATAATATTATAATATTTATGTGGAGCACACAGCTATGAGGAAGTAGTCAGTCATACCTCAACAAGCATGCTCCTTGCAGGATCGGTTGAAATAACTCCAGATCACACACACACACACACACACACACTTCATCCTGTCACAGTAAACAAGTGTCTCGTATTATCATAAGGATTATCAAGCAGGCTTCATGATAGATATATTGGCACATTTCAGAGAAGAAAGACAACACACAACAGTTTCCTTTCCCAAAGAGGTTTATTGGTTCCTCCATTTCAGCAAGAATAAAAGCCCCAGCCCACTTTGTTCTGAAGATATTAACATGGATCATATGCACTACAGCATGGGCAGAACATGATGTGCCTTGCACATCTACATAATGAACATAAGCATTAGTAAATAACACTTCACTTGAGATCAAAGATTCCCACTTTGATCACTGGGAATGTAATAAGGTGGAAGGTAAAGATATGGGATAGGGTTCAACAATAAGTTTCGTAGAAAGTGCTAAACCTGGTAACATTCCACCACATGAAGACACTGTGCTCTCCCTCAAAGCACAGGACCCCTCATCATTACACTCCCAGTGTACAAAAGTACAGCCCTGGTACAAAGTGCATAGTTCATAAGTACTGTGACATTAAACAACACTTACTTTACATTTAATAATCTTAGTAGTCGTTGACTCAATGATAACCAAGGGGGAACACACGGTAAATGGTTCCTTGAAATTAATTGTAATATTTGGTCGCATGTAATTAGATAATGTTTTAAATTGTTACCAATGAGGTAAAGTTTTGTTTCTAGTAGCAGCAGCCAATACTTTCAAATATATGTGCGTTGTTGAAATGCTAGAAACTTAAAATTATGGATAGTTTTTTAACT